TAAACTTATTTTTTTGGTTTTAAGAAAACAGTTCATAATTGATCTCCCCACTTTTAAGTTAATTATTTAAGGAGGTTAGCTACCGAAAATAAAATGGTAAGAAAGTTTTCAAAGCAATTGAAATCTGTTAATAAATATGCAAACTGTCTCGTGTAAAAATATCAGATCGATTGCCAATGTAGTTTTTTTGAAAAATGATATTAAAAATTATGCTCTTTTACACAGGCTCTTATGGGAGTTGGGGAAAAAACTTTAATCAAACGTGAATATTGCTCTTAAAAATGGTTAGGATCGGGAAAATAAAATTGTAATTAAAGAATTAAATATTACTAAACATGTTAAAACAATAAAAATATGCACTTACAATATAATTATTGAGATAATGGAATGAATATATAATGTTTTGACAAATTTGAACAAACATCTGTTCCAATGAAAGGAAATATGGCAACACTGTACGCTGTATTTAACGCTTCGACTAACGCGATATATTTGAATAGCTCAATTATAGACTATAAAATGATTCCAGTCGAAAACATATGTAGTAATAATTAATCTTAAATAAATTTTTAATGATCTAATGCAATATAATAGCAATTTGAAACAAAAATGGAAAGGATCTCTGCAAAACGAACAGTATAGATGTTCTGTCATAATCTTCAATTTGACAAGGCGACGTCTCACTATCATACACTGAACTTCTTGATAGTTATCACATGGATTCTGGGTTTGCACATTTTACTTTTTTCTCATCAATCCACATTCTGTTTCATACGCATTTTATATTACTTTTCAGTCATTACTTTTCCTTTGTACCTTGGATGTTCATTCATGTTTACGGAATAAGCGCAAAGTTGACAGTAATGAGTCATTACTAATATATATAATAAAATAACCTATAAGAAATTATATACTTGCTCACAGAGGTTTTTTTATATCTGTTCGAAGAAATATTAAAGATATCAACTAGTTGACATAGATTGCTATTAAAATATCTTGGAATTATATGAAACGGTGAATTTGATTACTATGCGAGAGTTGAGCAGAGAACACCGAGAAATGATGCTTAGCATCGAAGCTAAAAAATTTATCAGAGACAAAATATCAGTATCAAAATATCCATGAACAATTTTATATAACAGAATACAATCAAAAAATTGTTTATATATTTAATATACATATAAAGGAGACCAAATTATTACACTGAAAGAAATGGGCTTATTAAACTGTTTATCTAGAATAATGTGTATAGCGCATATTAAAACTTTTATAACAATGACAGTTGACCCAACATTTACCACCACGCCATGGCAATGTTGCCAGATTTCATTTTACAAGCTCTTAATGAATAAATAGACACTTTTATTCAAATAAAAATTTAATTGCCGTGCATGAAACACGTAAAATATATGCGAGCTAATATGTGTTGTATAAATTTCATTGGCATATATTATATTTAGTTCACTCAAATTAGTTTATGTAAGGTTGGTACTACAACGAAACTACCGTGTATATGTTTTCCTCCCGCACCGCCTGCCCCGCAAGAGATGTATCGAACCTCCTTAATACTGAGTTACCTTGAGTAAAAAAGAATAAAAACTATAATATAGTGTGTCCAAGATAGGGATGGGATAGCATTAGGATCTAGGAAACGATAAGAGATACGGAGTGGCTCAAATTAGAAAAAAGTTGTGTTTTTTTATACCTAACAATATGCCGTTTAGAAAGTTTTATAACTCCGGGTAGTTCCGGAGATATCTGGAAAACCCAAAATTTTACAATATCGTTTTTTTTTCTGGCTTTATTTGAAAACAAATTTAAAAATAAATTGCATATTTAAACTGCCAGTTTTTTCGCACTATCCAATGGCGTCATCATATGGCTAATTTTTTTAAATATGTCGCTGCTATTTTTATGACATAACAGTATAAAAGTCAATAAAATAACACAACTTTTTTCTAATTTGAGCCACCCCGTATCTCTTACCGTTTCCTAGATCCTATTGCTATCCTATCCTTATCTTGGACACACTGTATAAGCAAATATAGATATCCGAATTATTTGTCTTCAAATCGACTGGTGCAACTTTGTTTTGTGAATGTCTAATGTAAATTTAGTTTATAACTATTTCAATAACTTAATACCAAACCTGCCCTGATACATATTGCATTGGCGGCTGAAGCCATGCAAGGTGGAGAATTTATCGAAAGGCCCCCGTGTGTCGCGTACAGGCCATATTTCGATTATCCGGCATCTTCGAGGCTGTAGCTTCCCTCTCGCGTCACACATAAACAAAATTACTAGGAATTTTGTAGGATCAATTTCCCCTATCCATTAGGGAGCGGGTCGGGACCGCTTCCCATGGCGACTATTACACTAGCATCGTTCTCTGTATTATTCATAAAAATATATAGAAAGTGCACTTCGACGATTTCTGACGTGTGGATTTCGACCGACTCGCATCTTCGCGTATATATATCTCTATTACCGATAAGGTGATCTCCATAGAATGCCTTAGAAACACGTATCTGTCTAAAAGTTTTTAAATTATCGTTCTTAGTATTTAAACGTAGTGACCATTTGAGATTATAAGTTGCGCAAGTATATCTCGAGAGTATCTCTACCCAGCAGAGAACGAGTCTATAATTAACTATCGAAGAGATTGGTTATTTTAAATTTTAGCCTTTGACATTAGTTAGCTTTGTTAAAGTGTTAATTCATACTTTTCAAATTTAAATTAATGGTAATTTACGACAAATATAAATTTTTTTTTCAAAAGCTATAAAACCAGAGAAATTAATATTAAATGGATACATTTCTGAGATACAAATGGATATTCTACTAACACTGGTTGCTTTCATATGAACACCTTCCTTAACAAATAATTCGAAACGCTGTTATAATTTAACGATATAAATTTGTTTTGTAGTAGGTAAAAAAACTTTTCATAATGCTGTCGCGACGTCAATTACTTTCAAATGAACACACACACACTTACCTTAGAAAATAATTGGAAACATTGTTAAAATTTAACATAAAGTAGCAAAATTGAAATCTGAAAATGTGTATACAGGGGTTTATCAAAAAGATCTATTAAATGAAAATAGTGTCACCTTCCTCGCACTTCCGGTTATACTGGAAGTCATCATCAACTCTGTTATTTCAAATGGATCACTCTGTATATTTATACATTCTTCAATTCTACGGCAAATTCTAGACTACTTTCATATAAGGAACTATAGGCCAAACTGTGACAGTTTTCAAGTTATTATCAATTTAAAAAAAAAATTGAGAGATGTAAGTGAGTTTTGAAAATACAATAATTTACTCATTTGAAATTTTTGAGTAAGTTCAACTTCAACGTCACAATATTGGCCACACGATTTTAAACACTCTGTATGAATTTTTACAAATTTGACATAAACTGGTTGAATTCCATTGCTTTTAAGTTATCCATGCCAAATTTCATTAATAAATAAAGCAAAATGTCGGAGTTATTCTATTTTCAAAAATCACTTACGTGACTCAATTTTTTTCGAAAATTGATAATAACTTGAAAACTGTTACATTTTGGCCTATAGTACCTTATATGAATGTTTATTGTCTAGAATATGCCGTAGAATTGAAGAATGCACAAATATACAGAGTGCTGCATTTGAAATAACAGAGTTGATGATGACTTCCGGTAAAACCGAAAGTGCGATGAAGTTGAAACTATTTTCATTTAATAGATCTTTTTCATAAACTCCTATATACAAATTTTCAGATTTCAATTCTGACCATTTTTTGTGATCTTACCTTAAGAAATAAATTCTAAACGTTATAATTTAACGGCATTTCACAATTTCTGTAGCTCTCGTTTTACATACATTTTTTTCTAGAACGTTTCTAATGAACCTTAAGAAATAATTAACAGTGTTAGTGCAAATCTCTTTTTAGAAATTTCTTTTCTAATACATAATAAAATGACTTAGCCGCTTTTATAATGAATACTTACCTTAAGAAATAATTCGAAACATCGTTAAAATTTGATGGTATTCTCTTTTTATAAATTTATTTTTTTAATAGCAAAATTGTTTAAATAGCCCTTAAGAGGATATGTTATTAATAGTTACCATCAAGAGAAATTCGCATTAGTTATTTTCAAATGAACACTTACCTTGGGAAATAATTCGCATTAGTTGTTTTCAAATGAGCACTTACCTTGGGAAATAATTCAGAAAGTTAGTTTGATACATTTATTTTCATTTTCTAATAGAAAAATTGTTACAATTACTTTCAAATTGGCAATGACTGAACACTACCAAAAAAAATAATTCAGAACTAATAGCAACTCTTAACCGTAAACTCTGCTTTCAATTGAACATACAAACAGTATTGAAATTTTAATAATTTTCATTTTCAAATTATTTTCTCTTTTCGATAATAAAATTAATTAAACTATTATTAAACGAACCCTAAACAATAATTGGAAACATTGTTCCATCTTAATAACGATTATACAAATAATTTTTGTAATTCCCAAAAGAGCAAAATAAATTTATAGAAAAAATTATTTTCTTCTCTGGTTAATCAAATTATCTAAAATGGACATTTCTACTAATAGTGATAAAAAACTTGCTTTGTATGATCAATACTCACGAAATAATTCGAAACACTGTTAAAATTTAACGGCATGAAGAGACTTCTCTTATTCTCTTCTAAATTTACTTTCTTTTCATTCTTATCTCATTCAGTTTCCGAGTGAACCGTATTCGCTTTCAGTTCACCGGGCTGCGCCCGAATTTTTCCCCGCCACGCCAACAGCTGATGCATGTGGCTGCATTTATACAGCACACGCATCGCTCCGGAAGCGCGACCAATCGGTCGGCAGAAAACCCAATCATTTCCGGTGTCGCGACGCATTAGCGGCAGCGTTATTTTGACGGGCGCTGACAGTCCCACCGACACCGCATCCACGCTTCCCACAGAGCCCAGCTAACGTTGCGCTTTTGTTTCAGGTTCATCAATGCGAGGCGGAGAATAGTACAGCCCATGATCGACCAGTCGAATAGAGCAGGTAAGTGTGCGTGTTGAAGGGAGCAGGGAAGCCGCAGTGCCAGGACCTCGAAGAAGTTGTTTGTTTAGCGGATAGAGAAATTTGAAAATGTGTAGTAAACTCGACTATTTTTTCTGAACACGGTGTTGACTACGTTTTGAAATTATGAATAATTATACCACGGGATGTAATAATATGCAAATAATTACAGTTAAATACACCTTGCAACTCGACATGGTATTAAAAATGGATGAATCCTTGGTCCGCCTTTAAGAACATTTTCTTATAATAACATTTTGATATTGTCTGATGTATTTGTTAACAACGTGATTTTAGTTTTTTCTTGTATTTATTACATATTTTATCAATTTTGAAAAAAATTTGAAAATAATTAACACTTTTTAATTTTTTAATTAAATTTACATTTTTTGATACATCATGTCTGAATATTTTCTGAACAAATGGAGGTACTGAAATGGAATTTTCTGTCAAACAGCATTCAACGTGAAAAAAATTAAGTCTCAGCTCAAATCAGTAGCGTAGATGAAAAATTAAAAAATATGTTGATTACCTACATTTTCCTTAAAAAATGTTCTCACTTTCAATTCTTCAACATTTGAACTTTGTGAAGATTTTCATACACCATTTTTATACCTTTCAAAATTTATAAAGTTTATCAGGTCAAGTCGTTCAACAAGCTTTCAATCAGTCAAAAATAAATTAACTGTCAATATTAAACAACAAAAAACGAATATTAAATAAATCACATGGCCAACTGGAAAAATACCTATACATTTTTTGCATTTTTCTTCATTTAGGCAAATAAAAAGTATATATTATTAGTCAAATACAGAGTGTTCTATTTAATAAAACCTATGGTTATGTAATATCGGAAAACTGTGCGATCTGTAAAAAATCAGAGTACGCCAATGACTTTCTCATAAAAAATAAAACAAATAATGTTCAAACTTTTTTCTTATAAATTTAATGAGATAGAAAGGTTTAATGTAAATGGGAGATTTTTCAAAAAAACTGTATATCTAACAATAATCAAGTTAGCCAAGATTTTGGTACAAGTAAACTCAAAAGAAGAGGACGGAGCATAGATACTTATCAGATTTTTTGTATCTATCACCGCTTTGGTATAAAACTATCGATAATCAATCACCCTGGACATATACAGGGTGATTCACAAATGGTGACCAAAAATTAAACTTATTCTTTGGTGAATTTTAAGGAGAGTCTTTCCTATAAAGTTTTTATCTAGGACGCTTAAAATTCACCAAAGAATACGAGGTGTCATTTTTGGTCATCATTTATGAATCACCCTTTATATTTCCGGGAGTTAGCAAGAAAATTGCATAAAACATTTTTAGTATTTCTTCATATATAAAAAAAGCAAAAGGTAAAATAATAAGGGATGTATGTGAATACATATAGTTGGTCCCCAAATAATTGTTAATTGTACCAAATTTTAAAAGATTAAACTAAAACAACTCGTAAAATAAATGAGAACTTGAAAAAGTAATAACATTTTATCAGCTTGTGCCTCAAATGGATTTTTGCCTTAGATTTACCAGTAATTTTTGGTAAGAAAATCTGCCGAAGAACGATAATAGCCCAGCCTCATAAAGACCTCGCCACACCTTATGGAAATTGGTCTTTCTGAGAAATTTCCTGGAAAATTGATATGTTTTCCTCATTTTACCACTGATCAAAAGTCTTCATGGCAACGAAGCTCCAAATGTTTGACAAAAGTATCAAAAACAGGGAAAAATTGATTCACTATCAAACATCATTTTTTTATCATTAATGTAACAAATTTTGACATATAATGTAGCTTGTTTTCGCCTTGAAAATACAATTTGTTTCTGTGTATGCGCGCGCGCGTGTGTATTTTCAATAAACACACGAAATACCATACAATATTTTTTTTAATACACATGAATTTTTCCAATTTTTTTTTAATTCATGTGTAAAAAAATTATATAGTATTTCGTGTGTTTATTGAAAATACAAACGCAAGCGCACCTGCACACAAACAAGCTGTTCTTTTCAGGGCAAAATGATGTGCAAAACCCGACTTGACAACGTCCTCGTGGTGCACATCGGGTTACTTTAATATCAGCGATAATTGTCGTTATTCTTTATTTGTGAAAGCATTTCACAGATTTCTATATGCTAATCATTGTTAAATAAGCTACATTGTATGTTAAAAAAATTATATTTGATAGTGAATCAATTTTTCACTGTTTTTGACCCTTTTGATGGCCCTACCGCCTCCAGATGGGCATTTGGAGCGTCGTGGTCATGAAGAGTTTTGATCCGTGATAAAAAAGGGACAACATATCAATTTTTCAGGAAATTCACAGGTTCTTTTTATGTAAACAGTTGCATTGCACAAGTATTTTGGGTAAGTGTTTTTTTTTCACCGTGTTCAGCACCAGAATCAGAAATTTTATCACGTTTAGCCGCCTTCGCATCTCTCGTGATTTACGAGCCCTCTAACCATTGTCTCAACATGGAATGAATCCGTATGTATCAGATTTGAGAGAAATATCCCATTTCAAATGCAAGTGCACCAACAACTTCTTCGAGGTCGCGGCACTGGCTGGCCATCGCTCACGGTAAGCCTCCTTGCACCAAGTGCCCTCTTTCACGCCGATGTGGACGATCCCATTGGCCGACGCAGACTCCGTTTTATCACATTTTTTTAATGAATCGAGATTTCCATTAAAGCTTAACGTTGTTATGCATTTTTATGAAGATATGGGCCGATCCCATGCCCGTAATCGAGCTGATATGAATTGTAAGTGGAAAGTCTTGTATGATCGGTTATCGTAACCGAGCCCGTCGCCGTCGTTTTTATTTCGGCATTTCGCTAAGAATTCCTCTACTCGAGAGAGTGCGGATTATTAATGGCTGTCGATGTTAGAGTGTTCTTTCGTACGCTATCGATTCCGGACTTTTCTGTTCCTGCTGGAGACAGGCGAAGAGAAATGGCGGCAGCCATTGACCCTCACGGGCCGATCCATCACGCGGGGCACACAATCGGCCCAACTGACAGCTCCGCAGCTAGGGAGAGATTCGCCCGAATTCATTCAAAATGCGAATGCATACCTCCACTCCGGGATGGAAAAACTACATGTACTACGTTCCGGGAGATTCAATAACGCCCGCCTTACCCCGTCAGACGTAAACAACCAATTACGCAAATATTAATTGAATTTTTTTTACTATTGCATATGCGAGATAATAAAATGCACAGAGTAATTCTAAAACATGATGTCAAACTGAAACTACCTACACATTAACAGAAATATTTTTTGCAAATAGAATATTTTTTAATACCTACTGGCTTACTACAATAATACGAAAAAACATTTTTGGAACCGCTGAATCCATCGATACCTCAACTAGTTGTGTTAAATCGGTAAAAGATACACCACATTTCCATAAATGTAAAACTGATGATTAAAATTGAACTAGCAATTTTTCTGTTTACTGCAAAAAAACGAGACAAAAAAGTGGACGGCGAGCTATCTACGGCCACAACTATTCACCTCTCTTTATGTTGCGAACGATTCCAGAGGTTCTCAATAAGTTTTACCGGTCATAATTGTTATTAATTTTTCAACACCTTTTTATAGTTTCAACCGTTCTTATTATTGAAAATACTTATTATTTTTTTGTAGATACTCTATATTTTTTTTAAATTCTCCGAAGCGACTTATCAGATCCGAATGAAATTTGGTAGAGGCCTTAGATTTTCAATTCGAATAAAAACAAAAAACAAAAATTTTTTTTCACGCATAGTGACGAATATGCGAAATAATTGGGAGAACAAATTTTCCGTGGCATTTTCGGTGAAAAGTATGCTTGTTTCGAAACCTCCCTAGTTTAAGTAGGCTTTAAATATTGCATTAAAGAACTTTACAATCAGATTTCTTACAAACTTGCTTTTTACTTTAATTGGTATAATATATCAGTAAAATTCAACAGTCCATGATTCTTTGACTTTCAAAATCTATATCACCAACCACACTGAAAAAACAACGTGAAAATTCACACAATTGTTTAAAAATTCGACACTTGAGATTATTTTACAATTGTGAAATTATTATCAATAAATTGCAGATTTTCTCCGTTCAAACAATATTGTGTCAAAATTTGATACAATTTATGCCACTATTTTAGGGACAAATGTGTGAATTTTCACGACATCGTTTTCTGGGTACAAAGTACATCTAATATTTTTTTCTACTTTTTAAGATGTTTTTTTTAAGAAATGATTATTTATTTGACAATTAACGCCACTTAAAATGACTTTTAGATAAAAAGAAACTCTGTATTAGGCCCTAAATATTTAAATTTCATTTGGATATAAGCCATTTTGGAGATATTTTATAAAATGTTTTTTTAACAGTGAATCTTTATTTTTTTACAAAATATTTTCAGGGTTCAGTTCATATGAACTTTTTTGCTAAAAATAACTTTTCCTGTTTCAGTTTGACACCATATTTTAAAACCATCCTGTGTAGGTATTTCTCTGACACAAACCTAAATTTTTCAAACAAAAAGCTGCAACAAATAACAACAAATAAAATTCAAAGGAAATTTCATGAGTGAAGTTGCTTTTAATTTGAAAATATTAGTCTTTGACTTTAACCAACGACGTAAACGTAGAATACGCTACAAACAACCAACAGGAATTTATATTTCTAACGCTTTATTATCTCACATCCTGTGTAATAGATGTAAAATGCTTTCATTGTATTCAAATACACACACACCAAAAGCGGCTACCCTTCAAATGTGATTATTTCTTTTATCCAGCGATATTGCTGGAAACAACTACTCTGCTGCCTACAACCCCGACTAGCGTTAGATTACATCCGCTGTATCTAGTAAATTAGATATAACACACTTTGTAAAGCGTCTGAGGAACTATTAATACTATCTTATATTAAAATAGTTTAACTAGTTTCTGATATGATTATTGCCATCGCCTTTAAAGCATAATAATTTCCGCTTAAACTTTTGCATTAATACGTAAGTAGATGTCACATAAATCCAACTTACAACTGATCGAATGAGATTAACAAAAAATTTGGACGTAGTACGTATTATGATCAAATTATTGGCTGATGGGGTTTTATTTTTCCATTTAGTAACAAATATAGAATGTTCAATATTTTAAAATAAAAATGTATGTGGCACTGGTGCAAGGAGTAGACTTCCACCGTTTCAGTCCAAGGGCAGCGTGTTACACCACTAATAGTGTTTTCTCCCCATGCAGGTCCTAGCGGAGCCTACAGTCCCGATGGTACGATGGGCTACATGATGGATGGGCAGCAGATGATGCACCGGCCGCCAGGAGACCCAGCCTTCCACAATCAGTACGCACACTACCCCGAATACTACGGGCACCACCTGTGAGGTAGGTCGCAGAATGCTGTTAATACACTTGTAACTTGATTTGATCGTTCAGTTAGATTTTTTTTTGTTAGGTGATTGATGATGACAGGTTAGCGAAGTTGCGATACGTTTTAAGGAATTATTTTTTATCTTAAAGCAATAAGCAAATAATAACATTTTTTTCTAAATACTTTATGATCCCTCTAATAATTTCACCCGTTACAACCAAAGAACAATAACTGAAGATACAGACTTCAAACTCTGGTAGAGAATTCTGAAAAGAATCAATTGTCAAAAAAAACTTTTTGACGTCAGAGATCTTCCTGCACAGACTTGGATAGACTTAAGTTAGATCTACGCATTTACATGGTTGAAATTGTTGAGAACTTAAAGCAAAGGTCATCGGGCTTTCGTCTTCTATCCACGGAAGATGATGCTTTCAACATTGTCATGGCTTTACAGTTTCTCTTACATGAATGGGAGTAATTTAAGAAACAAACATTTTTATGATGTGTATTAATCTGTAGAACAATATTCCTTTTTATATCAGTTCTTTGGTAACGCCCCTGCTTGATTTTTGTTTATGTATATCTCTAGGGATCTGCACTTTGTTCTTGAGCAATTAAAAATTGTGTTTCACGTAAAACTTAAATTGATATGACTAAAGAAATAAGTACTTGTTTGTCACAATATCGCTGTTATATCTTGTATAGTTGTAACATTATTATTTGTTATTATTTTAGTTATGTCATGTTATATGAATGACAAGTATCAATAAAAGAATATATAAAAGGAAAATGTTGTATTCCAAGTATTATATGTTAAACAAAACTTTAGAATATTAATGTCTGCAGTGTCCGAAGCGAATACACTATACCTCAAAGATAGCTTCCTTGGATATACAGGATTTAGATCAAGTTACCTCCCAGTTTTCTTTCCTTAAAAATTTTAGGACCTTTAAAACCAATTTCTTTTATTTCGCTGTTTTAAGAAAAGTCCATTGTCTTTTTAGATATTTCAAATTTGTTTTAGAGATGGTTTCTACTGTAGCTGAAGATGGACATACTCTTTCGTTTTTTGTTACATTTATTTTAAATTATAACTAGGTGATGTAAATAATTGATAAAAGCAGTAGAAAATTGTAATTGTAATTTCTCTCTAAAATGATGATTATAGAAGTTCAGAAGATTCTGAATATATCTGCCAAAAAAATGTCAAATATAAGATAGTTTCAAATATTCTTAACGATGTTTTAAGTAAAAAATTAGCCTTTGTTCATCTTTGGCTACCCCAAAAACCTTCTTCCACTAAATACCCTTGAAAAGTGACGGAGCTGTATTAAAGAAATGTAATGCAAACAAAGAAAATATATTGAAGGTCACGAACTTGATTAGGAAGCAAAATTATATTAACTTGATCTAAATGGGCTTATTTTCATCCAAGGAGATTCCGGTCATCCTGTAGTAACGTTAAGGAAGAATTTCCATTGCAGTATGTACTACTAACTAAAGTAAAGAAAAATTTCACGCTAAAAAATACTCTTTATAAATATAGATATGTGTATATGAAGTTACTTTCCATTAAAATACCTCGCTGAGTAATAAATTTTTAAAAAAAAGTGATGGTTATATCCCGATAATAATTATAAATCCATCGACCTACTATAAATTTATAAAATTTTCAGATAACAAAATTTATTTTTATAAGTACGTGTTTATGTAATTAATTTGCAATAAAATAAACGATACTGGAACCTTACATCTTGTTATTGACCAATTTAATATTAATAAGCCTATAGGTGTGCAACATGTCACTGAAGTATAACATTAAACATTATTTAAAAAATAATAATCAACTGGATTAAGTTAAGCACAAGCAAATTGTGAACGAATCCCATACCAAAGTGTTTAATAAAAATGAATTACGAGTCTAAAAGTGAATTTAAATGGTTACATAAAATAGCAAACAGCTGCATTCGACTCAAAATATCGAATCGACGAATCGTACGTTGAGATAGGTGGTAATCATAAAACACGTCGTTATTGTCTTTGTAATTTTCTCGTTTAATCGACAATAAAGTTTCCATAATTTCCTTAACGACGTGTCATTTTATAGAAATAATATAGTTAAAGATGTGAAAGACAGCGCAATTTCACGGTTATTAAGGTAATTATTTACTTAGCAGAGATTAAAAATTATGATGGAAACGGCATTTTTTGCGAGTATTTAAATTCTCTAGTACCGTGCAAATTTGTAGTAGGTACAACGTGTTCATCGACAATTCCTTGACTAAAGTTACATAGAAAATAATTAAAGCTATGCAAAAATACATACGAGGTCTGTTCAGAAAATAACCAAATTTTTTGGTTAGGCTCTAATGGAGATATGCGCTTGGCAGCATTGCGTTGCGTATAACCTTCTCTGAATTCACTTGTTCTTGGATTGTGATATCTCATTTAGTTTTCGTTATGTTGTTATTTGAGTGCAATAAGAGTTAGTGACGATTTTTGAATCTGGAACAACAATGCAACGTAAAATTTTTTGTGAAACTAGGGAAAACCTTCACAAAACGTTTCAACTTTCCAAACAAGTTACAGAAATGATGCTCTGGGTCGTACGCAATGTAAAGCTATGGTTTGATAGAGCTGTAGCCAACGCAAAGCAGACAGTCAGTTATGCGCGTCGGACTTAACGCTGAAATCTAGAACACAAGAAGATGCGCAGCCGGTTTGTTAGATTCTACTCAGGTGGACTCACGGTAGGCAGAAAATTTTGTGCGTCGTTAGTTCAGTCGAAATCAAATTTGATTTGATTTCAACGCAGTCGTTCAGATGAGCTCACAGCATACAGTGCTAAAACGCGTTTATATTTAACGAATTTTAAAATGGCAACCAAGTTTTCACCAGAGGAAGACGAGAAATTAATCAATCTCGTACGAGAACATCCCCCATTGTATACCGTTCCTTCCAAACGTCTGTTAGAAAACATTGATCTTCACTTTTATTTTGACTACAACAGATTAAATTCAAAAGAAGATCTTTTTCATGTTCTTCTTCCTCAATAAGTATTGTCACCAAAAAATGTTCAGCCATTGTCATGATAAAAATAAATTTTGCCACAGTAATAATAAATATTTTCGTCTGCATTTACCAGCATACAATCAGAAGCACTAAATCTAACAAAACACTCTCCCTTCAAAACCGATAAAGTTGAACGCTACAGATTCTGCTAACAGCGTATGTCGTCTGCGACACACAGTTCTAACAAACCGAAGCTTAACGAATGGTTTTCACGAGTGGTCGTCACTCAATTGAAGATGATCCTCGTCCAAGAAGGCCTTCGACTTCAAATGATGACTCCCATATTCAGAAAGTCAAAGATCTGGTGCGTGCAAATTGCCGATTGACTGTCAATGAAACTGTAGAAGAGGTTAGCATCTCAATTGGGTCATGCCATGAAATGGCTAACAATGAAATTGAATATGCATCGAGCTGCAGCAAAATTTGTTCGTCGTTTGATGATCCAAAATTAGAAAGGAAATCCTGTGGACGAAAGTGGGGTTTATGGCTACGACATTGAGACAAAAGTTCACTCATCACGATGATGGACTGGCAAAGGATCTCCATGCCCCAATAAAGCACGTCAATCTCGATCCAATATCAAAGTGATGCTCAAGGTTTTTTTCAGCTTTAATGGAGTTGTGCATTTTGAATTCTTGCCTCAAGTTGAAACAGTAACATTTTACAACGGTTACGTGAAAGAAATCCGCAAAGAGATGGCGGGACAACTCATGATTCTTCATCAACCATTCGTCAGTTTCATGAAGAAAATCAGATAACTGTTCTCCCTCACCATCCCTACTCGCCAGACCTGGCTCGTTACGGTTTTTTCTTACTTCCAAAATTACAATCAGTGCTGAAAGGACACTGTTTTCAAACTATTGATGACATCAAACCAAATTCGTCACATACTTTAAAGACCATTTTAAATGAAACTGTCCAGGACTACTTCACGAAATGGAAACACCCGTTACTACCGAGATCGGTGGTAACGAAACACCGCTGAGAAAAATGCGTGAATAGGGGAGGGGAGTACTTTGAGAGACAAGAACCAATAATGTATAAAAATTAATAATAAAGATTAATAAAATTAAATAAAAAAATAATAAATAATAAAATTAATAAAGTTTTAAAGTTCGTTTATTTTCTGAACAGACCTCGTATACGGTGATAAGTTTATCAAAGAAATTAAAGAACATATTGATAGCAGTATTAACATTATTGCTAAACGTAATGTGAATTCGTTTTTTTTTTTGAAAAAAAAAGTTCATTAATAATACTGATGAGAGATAAATTCAAAAGTATATACATCTTGTTGATTGGTTTATTGTATTAACATTTAATTAGCATTTACAATTATGCGATTCGTAATTCGTTTTATCAGCTTTTACAGGTTTAGAATTTACGTTTTCCTCGCTTTATCGTCAAAGCAGCTAAATGAATAATTAAGAAATAATTCGAGAACAAATGGTAGTTATTACGATAAACTGTAAAGGCCTGTATTCGTTCCTGTACATAACATGTAAGTGGTAATTAATAATTTCATGGTTTTCTAAGAAAACATCAAACCACCATTAAGACAACTTGTCCAGTTAAACATGGCTAAAATAGGTATTCCGTTACTCTTCAACATGTGTGTTTGGAGAATTGCAAAGTATTAATATATTTTGAGATACACTTAGTATGTAGTATGTAAATATGACCTAAAGTTTTTTCTTTATTATTAATTTATTTATATCAAAAGAGCATAATTTTGGATAAAATGGTCCTCCAAAAGTATCACCCCATATCTGAAATAATTTACTTTATATTTTTATTTATTTCTTACGTTTACTAAATTTTCGCCCCACTCTAAACTTAAAGACATGTTGAATACAGATAAATTTCTAATTGATCATTTAATCGTGAATCACAAAATAAAGAAAACTTTGATAATTAAAAAAAGAACGTCAATTCGGTCTCTCTTTAAGCCTTTATTTGTTTGTAATTTTCGATTGCACCAGTGGAGAGAAATATGTATTCCTCATATGTGAAGATGTTTCCTTTGTCAAAAGTCCTCGAAATTACATTTCGACTATTTTGAAACTAAATAATTAGAATTATTTAATATATTGTTTTAACCAAATGCGATAATTGTTCTCAAAATATCAATAAAAAGTACAAAGACAAAATTTAGAAGCATACAAAAAAATGTGCATTATTTTATTGAAAAAAAATGATTTTTGTCAACCCTGCTAGTGGAGACAGACGCTTAGGTCATTATATTATAAAAGAAAGTGTATCTAAGGTTTTATCCAAATATGTAAAAATATACTGAGCGCTCATTAAAAAAAAAAGAATGTTGTGGTTATAGCTTGGTAATATGATGTGCAATTGTTTAGGCAACAAAGATATTAAAAAAACTTCACTTGGTGATAGGACTCCTCAAAATAAGAAAAAAGTAATAAACTGTATATTTTGATGAAGCCTGGGTTAATAATTTACTTAATTAAAGGCAAAAATCAAATGAATTGGTTTATAAATATGTCAATGAGTTGTGGAGATATTAAGGTATATGAAGTCCCCAGAATTTTGACACCATTTCTTACTTTGAAAGTTGAACAGGGCAATTTGTTTCCTACTGTTTCTCAGAAAAATGTGTACTTTGTTGAAGAATGAGCCATTATATTTATTTTTAATTTTTTTTAATAAGCTATAAGTATGGATGAATGTGTTTAAAATATCTCTAAATGTTTTTATTTCACAAAAAATATTTAGTCATTTCTTGTTTCAAATACAATTTTATATACAATATAATCATCAAAAGTCTATAGAAGATTGACGTAGATTGATGAATTTTTATTTTCTTTGCTACCTGTACCCTTAGTAGGCTAATACTTTCAGGGTTAGATTCCACTAAATACAGAGTGTAAGAAGTTTGACTGCCATTACTTCAGCATGAGATAGAGTAATCACAAATGAACAAAAAAGTTGTATATTACAGAGGCGTAAGATTAACAGTTTTCAAAATACAGCGAGTATTAATATTGGGGAGTTTCATCACAACGTGACAACAGCGCTTAAGCTGCTGATGAACACCACGTGTACACGCGGCAGACATGTCCTACGGAAGAAATGTAAACAGCTATTATTGTGAAATATTTAGTAAATTTCAAGACAATTGTTTTCCAGTTTTTAAATAAATAAAATAAAATGTATCGATTTTGTAGTACGAAGATAGTGTTGTGGTTAAATTTTAGCTCGAATTTTAATAATTATGAATCTCTTAAAACAGGAACATAACTTTTAATCAAATCACTTACATATTTGAAAAATATGTAATTAAAGTGCCCAAAGATTCACGTCGTCCAAATAGTTATACGTATGTAAAATAATTTAGGAACTTACGAAAAAGCACAATTCTGTAATTTTTAACAACATATGCCCAAAATACCTACCACCATTTTCGATGCACGCACGACACCTTAAATCCAATTTTAGCGCAATCAAGAAATGGAAATAGTGGTACGCAAAAAACACTTCGACGCGGTCGAATCCAGATAGCAACTGAATTGCGTATTGGTGGTTGCTGGACACCTTAGTTCATCGTGTTAATAAACCGCCGCGCCGTTGTCACATTGCTCGATATGAATTTCGTCGAATTTTAAATTTATTACAACGCTAATTATTTTTTAAAATTAAGCATAAGGAAGTTCAAAAAAGTGATAAACATTGTATTTTATGATATTCTATGCACGCAGTTATGTCAATATTCCTTAATTAATCGAACATTTGTACATCAAGTTAGAGATTTGATCATTTTTTCTCGGAAATGGTTGAGTTTAGGACCTATGTCATATAAGGTTTTATTGTTTATTTTAAAAGTCAAACTTCTAACACCCCGTATATCACTCTATTCAAAAGAAACACTGAAACTGAAGAAGGAAGCGATATATCTCTCGAAACGTCGAGAAGTCCAAACGGACGACGTGGTAAGCAGCCTGGAAATTGTTGATCTATTGACAACTGTCACGGAAACCTACAAACCAAGCTAGGTCCTTTGTTAATTTATTTTATCTTTAGATAATTAAAAATTTCCATGGCAATGGTTTTTTTAGACTTTTTGGTGGTAATACTTTATATAAAATTTTATTTGAAACCAAAAATTCCTATTATTTTAAATTTATTCAACTATGTTATACTTAATGTTATTTAAATTAAAAACAAAAATCCATCCAGCCATCCATGATGGCAAGTTTTTCGAATAAAGTGAAGATTCCCTTTTTCTTAAAGACTACATTCGGAATTATACCGGGTGTCCCAGAATATGTGGGCAATCTCTCGGATTTATACAGGGGACGTTAAAATAACATGACAAGTTTCTTAAGCCTATAAAGGACGCCCCTGAAAAATCGATTTTTTTAATAACTTTTAAAATACTTTATGTAATTTAATTATTTTTTAATACATTGCCCACATATTCCGGAACACCCTGTATATTGGATTTAATTGAATAAAGAATGACCCAAGTTTCATACATCTCAACAAAGAAAGTTAACGTAAAGTTTGGCGTGTGCAATAATTAATAATAAGACATTTGCCCTGATTTGTTTTATTGAAACTGGAATTCTTGTTGCAGGTCCCCCCTCTTGTGTCACAACGACATGGACATAGAAATATGCAACTCTTAAATGTGATTATTCTCTGTACAAAGTGTAAATGTAGTTCCCCAGTGTTTAGTTAACGGGAAGAACTTGTACAAAAGTATTAGACTAATCGTGCTCTGACTGCTGTACATAGAAATAGTGGTGAGGTGTGGCCAGCCCCGGAGAGGTGCCCCGCCGCCGAAAAGTATAAAAAAAAAATACTGCACCGTCAGTGAGCAAGGACAACCGCAATCGTGTAAAGTGATGTGGTCTCGTAGCTTAGGTTCCTCGATGTGTTACCTACAACACCCTCGTCCTAGTCCCGACCAGCCAACTTCCCCTCCCCGAAAACGATCAGCCGCTCCCCCCTCCCCACTCTCCCCCAGTCCCCTGTTCCCCCCCACTCTGTCCCCGTCACGTTTCTTAAAAAAATTCAAAAAGTACGACGCGTACAAAAAAATAATTCAAGGTTGTGCTGTTGTAAAATAATAGTTGTTATATCTGTTGTGATTTTTTTGCTAATTGAGAACCCTGGACTCTCCCCTGTCCCGATGATGATATACGATACGATATACGTAACTACTGAACCTAGAGAAGAAACTAACCAGCGAGGATGCCCTCGCATGACTAGGATAATAATATCAAATACACAAGTATACAGAATGTTGCAAAGTTACTCAGGTGGTCCATGGCTGAAACCATTAAAGTTGTAATATCGTACCACTCTAGATTATAAATTCTAACCTCTAATTTGTTACTTGTACCACCCTGATGATTTGGTGTATGACGTGATTATTTACTTGCCACGGTTCCGCAGCCGTCCCCAAGTCTTCATGGGCGCCGCAGAGGGGCCTCGCGGCTGTTGTTACTGTTGTTGTTTAGCGGCGCCGCCGTCGCGGACTTGGGCTCAGCTCCGGGACGCGAGCAGTCCCTTATCACACGTTGCCCGCGCCAGGTACACACGTATACGAATTTAGTGATGTTATATAGGTTTATTAATATTATTATTGTAAAATTATCGCATACAAAAGCTGGCAGGGTGGCGTGTGGCCGGTGGACCGGCTCCCTTGTATATTTAATTGTCCTATTGTTTATACGTATGATGTATTTTTCGTTACCTTTGTTAGGGAGCGGGAGCTGGCGGGGGCCCTTGTTGTATACCATTTACACGAGACCCTGACTTATAGTTTTTGATCTAATGTACTCGAGTATATTGTATATATTGTATTAAGTATATTTATGCCTAAGCTACATTGTATACCGACGCCCCCAGGGGCAACCACCCCCACCTTCTCCCGCCCGCTGTTTTATTGTAAATACAATTACCTCCGATAAGAATGTTGGCTGTTCGTTTTAAGTGATTTCCATCATGAATCATTATCGCCTTATCCAATGTATACGAAAATAAAAAATCAATACAGATCAATGAGAGAATATCGTACCTCTGTGTTATGTATGAGAGGAATCTTTATTGTGTTCTGCTTTTTAATGAAAGTATATATTAATATTATAAACGATTATGGGACGAGATACCTCTAAACTAATTTGGTAACGCCGTGTCCTCTGTATAGTGTTTTTTTGAAACGTGAGCATTAAATGCTACATCTTGTGTACTTATATAATCTGTGTTTTTACTCACCACCCCTCCCCATCCCACATTAGTAATGAGACAGAGAAAAAGTATATATTTATTTATACAGGATGATTCACAACTTATCACAGCTACGCGGATATTTTTTTCAGCAAATTCAGTTATTGCTATTATTATTATTACTTCTTGCTATTTATAATCACAATGTAATTAATACTTTAATAAAGAAAAAAATAATAGTTACATGGTACAATAACAGTTGTTAAAAATGTTATCGTAAACACATTACACATTTGAGAACAGCTGTAGTTGTAATACGTTCACGTAAATCATCAATAGTTTCACTTCAGTACGAGACACATCACCTTTTGAATGTTTCTAGAAAAAAAGTCGGGAGAGTTAAATTCAGGAGACCGCGGTGGTCATACTACCGAACCTCCTCCAAGATATTCTTGTACATTTTGTCCAAAATGGGGGACATCCCATCGTGTAAGAACCAAAGGACACATCTTCAAAAATTTCAGACATTCGATTTGACAAAATGAAACTCGCACAGAAAACACTGCATTTTTGTGTCTCGGCTGCTACAATGTGATGTACGACCTTCATCTCTTTTACGATTTAGTTGCAAATTTCTCCTTTCAGACTCTGCTTGAACCATCCTGGTAAAAGTAGTAAGCAGATGCCTACACGGGAAACGTTCCGCACGCGAACGAGAAGCTGCTAATGTATTTTGTCTTGCTTCGCCATAATTTTAAATAATATCATACACATGTGCCATTTCATACACTTAAAATGTTGACGTAAACAATGAACCACGGTAATAAGAGTACTATGGAAACCACAATAATACTGAATAAATAGACATCTTCACTGGGCTGAAGCTACTTGGAGAGGTGCGTAAAAAGGCGAAATATCTTATAATAAATCCTCTATAGTCATCCAGCTACATAGTGTTTTTTAAATATAACTTCAAATATTTCTTTATCGAAATCTGTAAATATTTTATTACAACTTTTTGGTTACCTATATTAATTCTATTTTTAATGACACATCCCCGAAGTTTTTTAGATAAGTTGTGATTCGGCCTGTATTTTATTTATTTTATTCTGTCCAGACGAAAATCTAATTACAGGACATTATAATATAATTAGTCGTATAAATAGCTACAACAAGTAAGATAAAAAATAATGTTAAAAACTGATATCTACGTACGTTAGATTAGTCCTAAAATTAGGTAAGTGAAAGAAAGAACGTGAAGAAAGGTGAAAAAACGTGAACGAGTATTCAAATTTGGCACTAAAAATGGATAAAGCTGAGCTGGTCGCAAAAATCAACCGCATTATTTATAATAATAATTTGTGCAAACATAAAACATAATAAAAATAATAAATCGGGTCGTAAAGATAAATAAGTTCATGGTAAGTATTAATATAAAACCAAAAAACATCTTTATCTCTAAACGTCTTTATTTATCACAACTAGTTTCGTGACATTAACTTTATCACATCTTCAGGCTACAGTATTAAATATATCAAGATTTATCAAATTTACAGTGTATAACATATCAATAATAGGTAATTTATAACAAATTCTGCCAATAATTTTAAATCACTTTCAAAAATCATATTATTTAATAATAAACTTGATTGATAAATTAAAAAAATTATTTCTGATATATAATACTTATAAATTGTTGAAAACATTTGTTATGAATTACTTATTACTAATATCTTATGTACTGCGACAATTTCATAAACCTTGATATATTTATATTGAAATACCTTTTGCAGACCAAAAATGTAACAAAGTTAATGTGACGAAACCAATTGCAAAAAATAAAGGTGTTTAAAATATAAAAACGTTATTTGGTTATACAAAATGGTCTTATGGGAACTCAGTCTTACAATTAGAAGTTATTATGTTAGCTTGGAAAACTCTATAACTGTCACAATTTTAAAACAAATATAAAATTAAGTTATTTTGTGCAACAAACGCATAAAGATGTAATTCTTATTAAATATATTTTAATCTTTTAAAAATAAAATGAATGTATTTTGTTACTCAGTTATAAAAATAATACAATTTCTGTCTTCCAAAAGATTCATCATGAGAAAATACAATGTGTCCTTTTTACTCAAGACTACTTTGAACTTAGTATATCCTCTTTTACATTATACAAATCGTGTTATTATTTTAAACCCACGATTCACGCCTCTGTAAAATTTTATGGGTAGGCAGAGAAATATATTTATATAAAATATTTTCAAAACAAATTCTGAATAAGTAATGGAGTTAAATGAAATTTTATGGTGAGTAGTTCTCCAATAAATTTGCATCATAATATGAAAAACTCCCCTATGCCTTCCAATCTCTAAATAAAACAGATTTTTACTTCGACATTTCAATAAAACTTTATAAAACAGCACATACTGGCCTCATATGATCACATATTAGCAGTATATACTATTGGACACTTTACTTTTTACAAAACTTGAGGACTTAATTATACAAATAAAAATCAATGTCGCAGCAAATATAAAACCAGTTTAAGATTACATATATTTAAATATTCCGAGGTTATCAAAATAACGGTAAAACAGTGTAAATCTGTTGTCCTGTTTACTTAATTGGCATATAGGCCTTGTCGAAGCAAAGGGTCACTGACCTAGTAGTCAAATCTTATTGACAATATTTCTCACGGAAACCGTTAAATAAAAAATCAATTACAAGGCAAAGTATAGAATTTTTCGTTGGAATAACTACTTACAACTGTACTACTGGCAATACTGAATTGATAATATTTTCATATACTTATTTATTTATGTGTACAAACTTGTAATGTTCCATCCCAACCAATAATCTTTTAAATGATGTAAGTGATAGATAAGTGACAAATATTTATCAGCAAATTCAAGTTAATGTGAAACTATTATATTCAGTGTATCCCCAGATGGGTTACCGCACTCTTGCAAACTTTTTTGTTGTTGATTTTTCGAGAAAAAGTTATTCTTGATAAACAGGTTTGCTTATCTTTGGAAGCCATGGGCTGTAATGAGATATGTTATAAAACAGACATTGCGTCCAAACAATTTCAAAATGTAAAATTTTCCTTAAACAGTGTCTTTAATTTTTGTTTTCGTTAAAAACTGTATTTGACAAAGTTGTTTGAGAACTCAAGAAATGCTTAAATGCGAGGTTTAGTCAGAAAATAACAATAATCACATTTTCCAAGTAAAATTCCGAAATTTTTAACTATCCATATAATTACATGGATATTTCCTTACCAATGTCAAAGTCAATATACATATTTATTTTTAGTAATTACAAACCGAATAATTTTTATTAATAATGCTAACCTTAGAACAACGAAATTATCTTGTGAAATGTTATGGAATCGGTAATGTTTCATATCGATATGCAATACAAATTTTTAATGAAAAGTATCCAAATGTAACTGTAACTCGTAGAGCAGTTAGCAAGCTAATTATAAAATGCAATACCACTAGTGATGTAAAGAATATTAAAAAGATAAAAAAGAATATAACTAAAAAAGGTCAGAAAACGTAGATATTAGCAGATCTCATATTTAAAGAAGTTTAGTATACAACAAAACCCATCCATTCAAATCTGTGTTTAATCATAAATTGCTTGATGGAGATAATGGTCGTCGTTTGAACTTTTATTTAACAATGGGCGAGAAACTGATTGAAAGCAGATTCTTTCATCACAATATTTTATTTACTGACGAATCAACATTCACAACTAATAGCGTGGTTTCCTCTCAAAATTGTAGACACTGGGCTAAAGATAATCCGAATTTTCGATTAATAATAACTAATAG